CGAATTGTTATGACGATAAAATGGTAGCTTAGGGGGCTTTTATAGGCAGGCTATGATGAAATCATGAATAGTTATGACAATAAAATGGTAGCTTAATCATAGTTTTTGAGAAAGTTGGTCATAAATCGTAAAATTATGGATCTATTGTCCCATGGCACCATAGAATAGCATTCTTTTGTTTGTTACATTGACATATTTTGAGAAACTTGTCCTAATATTTTTAAAAACTCGCCATTGTTAGAACAATTCCATTCTATAGAACACAATGTCAAAGAAAAACTGCATTTTTTAACATTCTTTAAAATCATTCTTTTTCAAATAATTTAGAACAACAATAAGTACACTATCATTAACAATATATGATTTTTTTCAGATTTAATGGCATAATATCTCTGCCACAGGAACCTATGGTAAAAGTGTTATAATACTGTCAGAATGGCCACTATCCACTAAAATACAACCATTTTTCTCGAAAATTAAGCTGGTAACCCCAAACTATTTTTAAGTCAAGACCATAATAATGCCCGGAAATACAATTTATTGCAAAATGAATAAATTCTGGGTATTTGCATTAATGAGAAAGCATCTTATAGGATGTGACGATATCACGAATTGTTATGATGATAAAATTGTAGCTTGGGGGAGGGGGGGCTTTTATGAGCCATTGTTTATTATAACGAATACCATAGATGGTTTAAGATTACATGTATATCAGAAATTTATTTATCGAAAGCAATTGTGTTATGAACATATTTGCGATTTAGATAAATTCCTTTTATTTAAAATATCATGAATAATTAAATAAAACATGTCTCAGTATTCACTTGATGAAATGATGCAAAACGGAAATCAGTAAACGCCCTCAAATTTACCTATATGTACTGGTAATACGAAGCGATGCGCACTAGCGACATTGTTTAGCATTTTATCGAACGAATACTTCTATATCTGTGTGTTTGTTTTATGATAAACACCTAATCAGTGATTTTATCAAGGCGTGCTATTAAAGGACGGTAGTCGTCACTCCGTGCATGCGCAAGATATGAGTCTCATATAAACAAAGATGGCGATTTTGACTGTTGCAACTAGTACAAACTGAGAGGTTACCAGGCTTTAATTACGTATTTTTTGTTGGTGATTGGAAGGTATCGAAGTCGTACTCGTGATTTCATTTGCAAAACGCATTGGAAACGGGAAAATCAATGTTTATCAAAACAAATGTCGCATATGCGCGGCGCGACGACTACCGCAATTAATTACACCTGCTTAAACAATATACGTTATTGGTATTATCACATCGATTGATAGTAGTAACACTTGTGTGTTACCTCGATATCATAGATTGTATCGTGATAAATTAAAAATTAGTGTGTCATTTGAAAATGAAAAATATTGAAAGTTGATATTTTTGCAGATTCCACAATCAAGCCCTGACTGAACACGCATGTTGAAAGATTAGTTAGCAGCTGGGGTCTCGTAAGCGCACTTCGGATATGTATACATATAGTGGCATGGATTTTTATGCTAATATTGTTAGTCTTTTATGCTACTCTGTGTTTGGTTTCTCATTTAAAAAATATTGAAATTAGAGATGTCTGCAGATTCCATCATCAAGATCCGACTGGACACACATGTTAATGGATTAATTAGTAGCTGATTCGGGGAGTCGTCACCTGTGCATTGGTCATATGGCCATAGCGTGTCATTGTTTACAAACATGCGTCCACCCATGACCCTTTACGTTCTTAGCATGTGTTGTTATCATCGCTTGGGACTCAATTCCCGCGCTTGCGCAGGTGACGACCCCCCTCCCCCAGCTTTAAACTCACTTCATACTTGTCAAAATGAAGTAGCGTGAGTAATATGCTGATATTGTTGGCTGTGTATGTATCCTACTCTGTGTTTTGGCTGTTCCCTGTGAGACAAGCTGCTGTTAATCCTAACATCAGTTATATGCACAAATACACAGACAATGCATAACCCAATATTTTGTGACAACGGATTAGAATGTAATATCATCGAGGAGTTTTCAAATATGGTCTGACGTACCCCCGTTTCAATTTCCTGCATATTGCGCAATGTGTCACTAAATATGAAGTTGAAAAGTGACAACACAGTAAAACAACCATTGTATGGAATATCATGTCATAATATCAATATATTTTAATAATTTGAATTTTATTACAAAAATCTGTACTGTAGATAATGAAGATGTATCACCAGCCACATGACTCAGTGATTGAGTTCATAATCTGTAAGGTACTCTGTGTGGTAAGTTTGAATAGAGCAAATCAAATAAAACAGGTCAATGACACAGTCCCTGTTTGTATTTTGGATGAATTTACAAAATATGTTTTTCATACTAATTAACTTGACTAATTACATTGAACAAACAAAGCCCGAGAAATGGTTGATGACATGTTCAATTTTTTTAGTTGAATTCGTCTGAACAAAAATGGCAAGAGTCAAATTTTATCAAAACCCACAAACAACTGAGGAAAGTCAGCCATTTTGAAATAAAATGTTGTGCATCAGTAATCCAACAAGCGTGATGAACTAAATCAGCAAGGCTTCCCTAAGAAGTGGTTTAATGTATGAATGGCACTAGGTAAGATAGCATGTGTTTATTATATAATAACGGTATTCAGTAACAATGTCACTGTAATGATGTAACAGTGTCACTGTAATGATGTAACACAATGTCATTGTAATGATGTAACAGTGTCACTATGATGTAACATATTGTCTTTGTAATGATGTAACACGGTGTCACTGTAATGATGTAACACGGTGTCACTGTAATGATGTAACACGGTGTCACTGTAAAGATATAAAACACTCATTGTAATGATGTAACAGTGTCATTGTAATGATGTAACTCAGTGTCATTGTAATGATGTAACACAATGTCATTGTAATGATGTAACACAATGGCATTGTAATGATGTAACACAATGGCATTGTAATGGTGTAACCCGATATCACTGGAATGATGTAACACAATGTCATTGTAGTGATGTAACACAATTTCATTGTAATGATGTAACACAATGTCATTGTAGTGATGTAATACAGCGTCACTGTAAAGATATAAAACTCATTGTAATGATGTAACACAATGTCATTGTAATGGTGTAACCCAAAGTCATTGTAATGATGTAACACAGTGTCATCGTAATGATGTAACACAGTGGCATTGTAATGGTGTAACCCAAAGTCATTGTAATGATGTAACACAGTGTCATCGTAATGATGTAACACAGTGGCATTGTAATGGTGTAACACAATGTCATTGTAATGATGTAACACAATGTCATTGTAATGATGTAACACAATGTCATTGTAATGATGTAACACAATGTCTTTGTAATGATTTAACACAATGTCATTGTAATGATGTAACACGGTGTCACTGTAAAGATATAAAACTGTCATTGCAAAGATGTAATACAGCGTCACTGTAAAGATATAAAACTCATTGTAATGATGTAACACAATGTCATTGTAATGGTGTAACCCAAAGTCATTGTAATGATGTAACACAATGTCATTGTAATGGTGTAACCCAAAGTCATTGTAATGATGTAACACAGTGTCATCGGTGTAACACAGTGGCATTGTAATGGTGTAACACAATGTCATTGTAATGATGTAACACAATGTCATTGTAATGATGTAACACAATGTCATTGTAATGATGTAACACAATGTCATTGTAATGGTGTAACCCAATGTCATTGTAATGATGTAACACAGTGTCACTGTAATGATGTAACAGTATCACTATGATGTACATGTACCGGCATTCTTAACTATAAAGACAAATAAATAAGAACAACATTATATATTTATTCCATAAATTTTATTTCCATTTTTGCATTATGATTTGATTAAGGGTGTTTACCGTGGCTATGTCTAATACGTACTGTATTGAGTGAGAATGATGAAATTAATAAAAAATGATCAGCGCCTACTTTCTTTGGTAGTATGGATGTTGACTAGAAAAATACAGTAACTATCTTTTCAGTTCACAACATGCTATAGTCACGATGATGGATAATACCCATTCAATACATATAAAATACATTGTATGTTCACATGAAATTGGAATGTCCGCTGCATATTTGGTGCTGGTCGGTGCAGATCTTGACATATTTTATAGAAGTGAATGAAATATAAATATATATGGTTGTCAAATAAGTTTATAAATCAAATCAACACCCAGCCATGAACAGATTGAGGCTCAACCGTTGATGATTTTCTTTTCTTCCAAATCACTTCCTGCAGTACTGTTGTGCTGCAGCATTCCTGTTATCAATGTCTCCATGTAGAATTACGTTGTATCCTTTGGTATATATCTTTCAATCTTTTTATCAAAAGCTTGCCAATAAGCGTCATCTTCTTCAAGAAGTGGTTTCGCTGTTGAAATCAACTGAGTAAAGTCCAGAACTCTGAATTGAGGTGGTGTGTCTTCTGTGATGTCACTTCCTGTTGATGCATCCTAAAAAAACCAATAAATGCCAACATGTGAATACAACAATTTTCTTTGTTAGAAGTTTCAATCTTCAGATCACTCCCAATTTTTTCTGAACATGTTCTAGATACCAATGATTTAAAAATAATTTATTGGAATGTTGTTTATGTTTTTTTTGGTTAACCATATGTAAATTTAAAAAGATAACAAACTTTATTTTTGTTGTGACAAATAGTAGAGATTAGATTAAATTAGATTTGGTTGATTGATTGATTGATTGACTGACTGACTGACTGACTGACACCAGATACCAGTGATTTAAAAATAATTTATTGGAATGTTGTTTATGTTTTTTTTGGTTAACCATATGTAAATTTAAAAAGATAACAAACTTTATTTTAGTTGTGACAAATAGTAGAGATTAGATTAAATTAGATGTGATTGATTGATTGATTGACTAACTGACTGACTGACTGACTGACTGACTGACTGACTGACTGACTGACTGACTGACTGACTGACTGACTGAGTGAGTGAGTGAGTGAGTGAGTGAGTGAGTGAGTGAGTGAGTGAGTGACTGAGTGACTGACTGACTGACTGACTGACTGACTGACTGACTGACTGACTGACTGACTGACTGACTGACTTATTTATTTATTTATTTATTTATTTATTTATTTATTTATTTATTTATTTATTTATTTATTTATTTATTTATTTATTTAATAATAATTTTAACTAGATTCATTCTAGTTGTTAATAATTTCTTATTAACAAAAAAAAATCTTTTTACTTGATGCAAACACTATGTAATCTACCAATTTGCACAGGAACAAAGTTCATTATTATGATATAATGAATAGACACAGCTAACTTGGGGGAAATTGTGAAAAGTGAAAGTTCCATAAAAAAATTACGAGTAAAACTTTTCAAATGGAAAAAAACGGCTTCATGATTCCTCTCATAGCCTTAAAATTTTGAATTAAAAATTTGGTAATATATATATATACAATTGATGTCCCATTTGTTATTATTATTATTATGTTATTATTTTTGACTTCCAAATATTATTGCAGTCACAGAAAATTGCAATTTCAAAAGTATATACTGTAAACAATATTTATAAGTTAAGAATATTGTTTGTAATTACATTGGATAGACCATTTAATTAATGTCACTCAAACAACAATATTGTTTAGTGACATTCAATCACAATTAGGAACATAACAGATATCTCAAATTATTTTTGTATTGATGCCTTCAAAACAACAACTACAACGCTGTAAACAACCTTGCCCTCCTTT